GTAAATATAATCATTATATATAAAAGTAAATCCCCATCCATATTCCTCTAAGCCCCTTTAGGGTAACACTTCAGCATCCTGTAGAATGACTGTCAGTAAGATGCAGGGGCACCGCTAAGGAGATGCAGACGTAATATAAAAAGAGACTTAGGAAACACTCGTTTTACCTTATTCTTATTGGAAATCAGGATCACAGGATTGGGCTGGAGAGAAAGGACTTGTAGGGTTAAAATATTTTAATATTTTAGGGTCAGGGTCATATATATATCTATACCTATCTATAGATAGATAGATAGGTATAGATATATAGATATATATTAACTCCCAAATAGCGTAGAGCAATGCTTAGAGTGGCTTGAAAGCAGAATGAGGGAAGGAGGGAGTTTTCTTGTATTTTCAAATGTGCAGAATGAAGTAAAAGCCAGTCCGGAAAACAAGGCTTATATTTCTGAATGCTTTCATTTTGTGTGATCATGAGTCTTCTCTCCCTCTCTCCTTTCTTCTCCCACAAAGATTACCATGTCTATTCCATGTCAGGCATCTGCTATGCAAGCTATATCACAGGCCCTGCAAAGACAGGAACATCACAGCACTGGGTGTGATGTTCCTTACATGTAACATTTAAAGTGTTTGCTGACTATATGACTCAGAGGATCCTTTCTTCTTGATTCCAGGGAAGTTTGTGGACTTGAAGAAAGTTGGGTTGCAATTCTGCTGAAAGTGTTTGGCTTTTCTAGAGGAAAAGAGATGAAGAATGGCTGAGTCTCTGCCTCAAACAGTCTCATTGTCTAGTGTGGGAGATAAAGCCAAGGTCTGCGGAGCAATGTTGAACAATGTAAGCCTTTATAAAATGGGGCCATAATTGCTGTGGCTCAAACTGTGAGCACTGTAAGACTCAAAGGTGAGGGAACTCAGTGAGCACAGGCTGTATCAGAGCATAGGCCCCTACAGGTGGGATTTGAGGTGGATTTTGTGTAATTGTGAGTACTTTAGGGATGAGGTCTGTTGTCTAAGCTCCATCTTGTCTACTGCCACCCTAGTTGCCCAGATGCCCAGAATTGCAGGGGTAAGGGATGCTTTTGGGCTGGAGTTTCTGCTTGGAGAAGGTTCTAGCTGGCCAGGGGGCAGGGCTCAGCAAAGTGTCCTGCTAGAGATTACAACCTGCGACCCGGGCTGTGCCCACGTATGCTGGCTGGTTTTGCTTTGCAGGGACCGGCTGCCTCTTTCTCTCCTGGGCAGGTACTGTCTTGGCTCCTGTTACAGTGAGAGTAGTGGTTTGTGTCTATAAGCCAGGGCTGCCCGTTTCCTCTTCCTTTCTGTGTGCCAGGGGTTGGTGCTTTCATTATCAGTATCTTTGTGGGGGTGTAAAAACAGTCCCCTTTCATTAGCATTTTCTTCCTGCTAGCCATCCTGCTTTATCTGTCACCTGATCTCCTACCATACTGTGTTGGAATGCATTAACTCATCACTCCATGTTTGTGTCAGCATATGGATATGCACTGAGTGGATAAAAGCATTTTGGGGCTCTGTGGGTAGGTACCTAGTCTCCAGCATTAAGGGTTTTCAGTTGCTGCGACAGCAAGGGGCACATAAATGGGTGTGTGTGTTTACTGTGAGGATGTGGTTTCCCCACTGGCCCTACATGGTGCCAAGATGTTGATTCCCCTCCACCCTTGGGGGTGGGGAGAAGCAGGGCCAGAGCCTTTGTCTAGTGTGTTAATTTGGGTCTCCAAGAAGTAGGTGCTTGGAAGAGATTAGGGGTGGGAAGGATTTATTGTGGGCGGTGGGGTGAGGAGTGGGGGGTGGTGAGCTCCTTTGAGGGAAAACAAGGAGGAAGCCTGCAGATGCTGGGACAGGTACAGATTCTGCCCCAACCCCTGTGGAGAGAGGGAAGGAAAGGAGGCTGGGCAGGAAAAAGTTTAGGCTGGGGTGCAATTCTAAGAAAGGTTTGGCAAGGCTGATGGGGCGTCCCTGAGCCATAGTGGCTCTTAGGAGGAGTTCCATCTCTGTCTCACTGCCCCTGCTGGACTCAGTCCTTGGCTGGCCTCAGCTTGAATGTGGTCATGGATTTCAGAGCACAGAAGCTGAGACCATGGGGCGGCTGCACACCTCACAGTGGGCGACTCATCTGACAAGTGCATTTCATGGCTATTGCATCTCGTCATCTCTGGCAGCAAGCAGCTTACCCCACTTACTCCAACAGGCATCTTCTCAAAGGCTGGGACCAGAGCTGGCACAGAGGGCTAGCCGGGGCCATTTAGGTTTTGAGGACTTGTATGAATTTAACCACAGGGGCCCAGGTACTAGGCACTCACAATTATGACAAATGCTTATTTGTCTTGGATAAAGAGTGGACACTTCATGTTTATTTGCTTCTTGTGATGGCATTGAAAGCATATTGCAAACATAGCACCCTTTGGGAATTTCAAATAGTATTATTATAGGCTCTTTCTGTTCAGGCCCACTGCAGGTAGTATCTTGTGCTTCTCTTCTTTATATCCCACTTGAGTAGAAAGCAGAGGTCACACTATCATTCACGGTACCTGCCAAATAACTTATAGAAAGTGAATCCTTCCTAGGCAAAGAGTGTTGGAAAAGTGATGCTCTTAACTCAGGCACCCTAAACCACTTACGATGTAGATGGTGTACTTCCCTTCTCTTTCCTGACTAGTTTCATTGCAGTCATTTGGCACTCAAGAAAGGCCCCCCGCTGTTCTGTGGCGGATAGGCACTCCAGGTGGTCACATATCCATCACTTGTTTTCTCTTGCTAACAAAGGCTAGGCTACAATATTTCTCACTATTACGGGGCAGTGGGCCAAGGACTGAATACCTGCTGAATGAGTAAGGTGAAAACATTCTTGAAAGAAATCTGTTTTCCTTCTCCCTCTAACTAGTTCTCCAGATTGTTGCCAAATCCATAGTTCTTATATGAAAATCTGATTGCTTTACTCTCCTGCCTAACATATTTCACTAGTTCTATATTACCGCTGGGTTAAAAATAAAAAACTTAACATGACAGAGGAGCCTCTTTATGACACAGCTCCTGCGTGTGGTCTGCAGTCCAGGGTTTCCGTTTTCTCTCTCTCTCTCCATTTATTCTCTTCTTACATCACCACTGACTGTTGAAATCCACTGGATTTTTTCAGTCCCTCTGTATTTGCATGTTATCTTAGGTAGGTTATCCTAGTGGCTGTTAATGCAGAAACACTAACATTTCAGTGACTGTGTATCAGAAGGTGACTCTTCACTCACACAGTAATCCAGTGCAGGTAGTCCTGGTTGGTAGATGGCTTTCCATCACCTGGTCTTTCAGGGGCCCAGGTTCTCTCAGTCTGGTGACTGTCTACCAAGGGGCCTTTGTTTCCTCTCCATCCATCTGATAGATGGGGAAAGAGAAGGGTGAAAACACACCTGTCAGTGCCCTGGCCTGGAAGTGGCATGCATCACTTCTCCTTACATGCCACTGGTGAGAAACCAACCAGACGCAAGACAACAGGGGAACACAATCTCTGGCTGAGCAGCCACTTCCCTATGACTATTCTGCACCCTGATGAGCATAAATCCTGGGGAACTTTAGCTGTCTCTCCTGCTACTCAAGCCTGCCACACCCATGTTCAGCCTGGATCCCAACTTAGGCCCTAATTCAGATTTTTTGGACAAATCTTACATGACCTTTTAAGATTCATCAAAGCTTTGCATCACTCAAAGGACTTGTAGAGTGTCTTTTCTCTATACTCATGTAACACAGGGTGCTTCCCAGCTGTCATTGCACATGTCCTGTATTATAATTGTTTGCCTATGGGTCTTCATTTTACAAACTTGAGCCCCTGTAGGACTGCAACTGTGTTTTATTTGATATCTATAAAAGTCTTACACAAAATACGTACCTAACAAATGTTTTTTTACATAAATGAAAGGCTGTTAGATGACTGGAGCCACAAGAGAGTGATAAAAACTAAACATTTGATGTTTTAAAGAGTGAACTGTGGATTTATCCTAGAACACATACATCAATCCTACTTTTGAATTGAAGAGTGTGTAGGTTTCTGATTTCCTTGCTTTTTGTTAATAGATCCATAATATTAAGAGAGAGTTCACAGTGATCAGATTATCATGAGAATCCTGATAGAATTTATAAACTTAAAAGTCAAGGATTGTTACTCAGCTCAACTCTTCACTAAAAGCAATGTTTTATCATTGGAACATATTTGGTTATGGGTAAGCAGAAACTTAATTCAAAATTGTTCAAAAAGTTTGAGAATATACTATGTCATATAACAAAAAGTCTAGAATAGACTAGACTATTACTAGCAGTCTAGAATAATCTACTAGACTAATAGGGTGGCTCCAGTTTAGGATCCATTCCCTCAGCGAAATCATCTACGTTACGACCTGGGTTCTCTCTGTATCTCAGTCCTACCATCCTTAGTATATTGACTGTGTCCTTGGACTGTATCCACTCAAGGTCACAAGATAGCTGCCTGCAAAAAATGGAGAAGTTTATTGTCTTGGTTATGTCCTCAGGGAGAGAATCAGAACACCTCTCCCCTAACCATGGCATGTAAGTGCTTCCTCTTCATCTGCTGGGATTGTCTTAGATATGTGCTGATCGGCGGACCAGAAACTTTCTCCGAGAATTCCATCTCTTGATTGATTAGATTAATCAATATCTGTCACAGAGCAAAGGTTTTCTTGAAGCACTTGGATGGATAGAAGAAGCGGGAGCTTTTCTCTACAAAATGTATGTGTCCATTAGGAAAGATAAAAAGAATATCCATACAATGGATATTCAAGCAGTAGTATTAATCAGAAATAGTTTAACAATAAAATCTATTGAACTGCTTATCTATGGAAGAGTGTACAATTTTCTAAACCAGGCAATGACCCAACACTTTCTTCTGCCATTTCTACAAGTTCCAAATCATGTATGTAAAAACATGCAATAACAAACATTTAAAATTGCATCCCTACAGTACAATTATTTATTCTTTATTTTAGGCCTTATAATGGGATTAATCTTACGATATGCTACAGCACCAACTGATATTGAAAGTGGAACTGTGTATGACTGTGGAAAACTGGCCTTCAGTCCAACAACTCTGCTGATTAATATCACTGACCAAGTATATGAATATAAATACAAGAGAGAAATAAGCCAGCACAACATTAGTCCTCACCAAGGCAATGCTATACTTGAAAAGGTAAGGCTTCTATCTGGTCGTATATTTTTGTTTCAAGTACAAATAATTGTATCATATATGAGCTGCCATATAGAGTACATTCACATGCATATATAGGCCCTTTTCAAGAACCACATTATTGGGTCAATTTAGTTGACTGAAGGGTTAATGCCTTGATATGTTCTTACTGTAAGATCAGTTGTTTGTATTTTTTTCCTAGAAGTTGGAAAATAATACTTTTTAACATAATTATTTTGCAAGCCACAGTTATATTAGGTAAAAAAGAAAATAATAATTCAGCTGACTCTGCCTTCATGATGTTTGATTCAAGTTTTCACACATGTATTTTAAGGGTCATTGTATATATTACCAGTTGGCTACTCAGTGCAAACGTCCCTCAAGTCAAAAGGAAATGGAGGAGAATAAGAAAATGTATACTTGCGAACTAGGATGACTGGCTTTTGGCTGCCAACACAAAGTACTGGCCTGTTGTCTGTTTATAAATACATTGACACACAGACAATCTCAAGAGATCTTGACTCCATCAGTTTAGTTAGGGAATCTTATTTAGAAAAAAGAAAAATTGTGAAGTGATTCATCTCTTAAAAATGATTGAACTGTTACACATTTGTCAACCGCTGCAGTTATTGGAAGGAAAACATCCTTCTGCTCTTAGTATTGCAGGTCAGAAAACAGGTGAGGTTACGTTTTGGTGGCTTGTGCATTTTGGATCAGTCTTTGGAACAAGTGAATTTATATTTAACAATGGAAGTAATGTGCTAAGGACTAGGATCTCATGTGACTTCTTCCAGATCCTTTTGGGTCAGACCTAGAAACTTCCTTGATATTATGAAAGTACATTTATCCCATATGGATTTAGGGTTTTTTTTTCTTCTATATATGTACTTTTGTTGCCATTTTAAGAGGTTTGGGACAGGAGGGAGGAGATAGTTTGCCATTTTTCTTCATTCAAAATGGGTAATTTTTAGTTGCTGGGTTTTTTCCCCACATTATCTTCTGCTAGCACATTTCTAGATTAACTTCCTCCCTAAGTACTTGCTGAGGCCTCAGGAAAGTCAAACTAATTATGATATTAGCCTAAATCAGACTTAAGAAAGTGAATTGAGGCACACAGAAAGCAAATTAAATAATGTGTTTCTGAAATAACTAGGAGCAGCTTACAGAGATCTTCTGATGTGATGATCTCATCCATGTGATTCTTTCTTTTACACGGATGATAGAAATTATCTATCTTGAAATAAATAATTTTTAAAATGACCTTGTTAGCAGCATAAGATTTTAATTAAAACACGCTCTTCAGTTTCACCTTTGGTTAATACTTCAACATAATTAAGTATTTCTCCCCTCACTCTTACCTATTTTTACCTGCATTTCTAAGCAGCACTATTTCTTCTAACAGGATGACCCCCAGATATGCTGGAAATTATCTATGTTACTATAACAGTTTTGTTTTCTAGCAGAATTGCCAACAAACACCTGATCATAAAATTTGTTACTGTATGTTGACATATTGATTCCTTTGTCAACAGCCAAACTCCAGCATTTGCTTTTGGAAAATTAAGGCAAGAGACAGAGAAAATGTCTAAATTGGTGGGACCTTCTTGGTGTTTTCATTGGGTGGATTATGAATTCTGCTTATAAAATATTTAACTCTAGATTATTTTCTAGATTAACTCAAGTATTTTCTAGATTAACATCTAAATAATGTGACTCATGGACTTGCAAATAGCATTTGTTCCTTCAGGCATCCACAGGTGGCGGCAGTCTCCTCAAGACTCAGTGCCCTCCCCTCACTGCCCATGGAAAAGGAGCAGCAGCTGGTGCACTTACCATGTTAGATGACTTCAAGCGGAAAGGATCTTATTTGTAAATGGGCAGAGTGTATCTTAATGCATGTTTGTTGCTTACATGCTAATGCTGGGGGACCCTAGGTAGTCTGTAAAAAGAAAAAGCCATACTCTATCATCCCTAGAGTGACTTCTCCACTGAATGCAACTATTCCAAGCAATCTATCAATCAATCTGTGTCCCTTGCAAAAGGATTCCAAAAAAAGAATCCATTCTTTGGAAGCCTTATGTAGAAGCCCTATGTTGGAAGGGATATAACTTGGAGTAATGGGAAACAAATTCAGGACCAAGCAGATCTGCCATTTGTCCTTAGGAAATTCCTTGAACTTCCTAATCTCCAGCCGCCTTATTTGTAAAGTGGGGAGATTAGAACTATTTTGTAGGATTGTTTTAACATTTAAGTGAGGTGATGTATATTCAGTGCCTGGTTACCATGAGGCCCTTTACATTGTGCTGCTATATCACTGCCTCCACTACTACTACCGCCTCGATGCCAGCCCCAGTACCATTGCCACTGCATTGCCTCTAACATCAAAGCTACTGTCGCTGCTACTAGATGGTGACTGAATGCTTAATATATGCCAGGGGTAATGAAGTGTGTGTTTGTTTTTTTCATTTATTTAACATCTGTTGGAGAGATAAAATCAATGTATAATGTATACCTGTATATAATTCAGTTCTAAATTGAATTGTACAGACTATGAGTACCATAAAACTTTATAGCTTTGTTGCCATAGATATGTGAGCTTGTCAGGGAAGCTTCCTGGAGGAGGTGGCATTTGGGAAGGGTTTTGAAGGGTGGATATGCTTTAGATAGAAAGAAGGAATTTAGTTCAGAAGAGTCACTGGGAAGGATGGACTGCAGGCTGAGGCTGCAGGGTGTGGTTATCTGGGGGAGAAGGATTAGAGCTTCATGGATGCTTTGGATCAAGAGAACCTGCTTGATTTACAGCGACAGTGTGAAGAGAAGAATCTAAGATCCCAAGCTCTTCAATCTGGCTAGGAATATATAAGAGTTCCAAGACAGAGGTATGGAGGGAAAGAAGATTTAAGGAAGAGGACGGGTGGAAATAACCTGTATAAAGAGATCATCCAATTTAGAGCAAGAGAGAGACCCAACCTCATTAAGTTGAACCCTGCCCTGTTATTGATGAATAAAACAAGAGCTTAAGCTTGAAAATTGACTTAAGTCAGTGGTTCCTAAACTTGTTTGAGTTTTAGAGTCACCTGAAGCTTCAAAAAATCCTGATGTTTGATTTCTACCCCTGGAATTTGTGATTCTGCTGAGTTAGGGTGTGGCCTGAGTTTTAGAATACTTAGAAGATGATTCCAACACACAGAAAAGTTTGGGAATCACTGGTTTAAGTCCTATGTTGTGTTCAGGTGAACATGTTAAGGATAAAAATGCCACTTTTCTGCGTCTTTCCCTCACCTCTTCTGCTGCCTATCTACCAGCCCCTTTTACACATAAAGCACTTTCCTTGCTTCAGGACCTCTACCAATGTCATTCTTTTTTCTTAAAATGCTCTTACTCCTTTGCAGATGTCAGACTTCTTTTTATGCCCAGCATGTCAGATTAGATTGAAATGCCATCTCTTCAGGGAGGGCTTGCCTTTTGCTTTCCCTGTATTTTTCTCTCTCACTCATTGCCCCTCTGTCTCTTTTATTTCAAAGCACTTAGCTCTATTTGAAATTAAATATATATTTTTATTGCTTAGTTATCATTCATACACTGTTTATTGTCCACGAGATTGTAAACTTCATAAAGGCAGGGATCATGCCTTTCTTATTGACCAAAGCCTATCACAGTGTCTAATGCATAATGGTTGCAGACAAATAGTTTGTTAATGAATAAATGAAAGAGTCTGAGAGCTTGGTATAGCATATACAATTTGAATATTTGGAAGTTATCATCTTAGAGTTGGTAGAATTGTAGTGTCTTGGATGCTTAATTCTAGGAGAATCTAAGATATTATCTAATATTAGTTTTGTGCATACAGAGAATAAATTCATATTCAGAGAAATTACATGGTGGGTCCAGGATCCCACTACTGCTCACAGGCAGAACCAGACCCGAAGCACCTTGCATTGAGTCCTAATAACTTATTGTACCCTTACAGAACTGGGCAGGCTCATGAGTGTCCCTGTGGACAGAGAAAGGCAGGGTGCCTTGGGCTGAGGCCTGGGGCACCTCACAGTGGTACCAGTAGAAGGAGATGCGGGCTGGTGCTGAAAAGAGAGGGGGATGGACAGAAGATAGGCAGAAGTCCAACACAGCAGAGTCACAGACGTAGAAGATGGTCAGAGCTATAGGAGGAGTGGAGTCATGGAAGCCGTTGATGCAGCCCCACTGAATCTTTCTCCTTTGTGAAGATTAAAGGAAGTATTTGGCCTTTGTTTCTGAAAGCTATAGGATGAGGAAATGAGTTTTACACTTAGTTAGAGGAATGTAGTTTAAAGGCTTGGATGAAATTCCTAACTTCAGTATTCAGAGACACTGGAATGAATTCCTGTGTTACATAATCACCTCTTGGAAGATTTGTAAGCACATGTGTATTTCTGGGATGGTTAGGCATTGAAGTGCTTGAAAATAGCACTGGGCTTGGTGGCTCCATGACTTCCCTCCAATAAGAAGGTATAAAACTGAGAAGTATGAGAGCTGTTGTCATTTATATAAATAGCAGTATACTGTTTTTATGCAGTGTGTAAACATAGAAAAATTTCAGAAAATACCATATGCCAAGCTTGTTTGTTCATGCTCAACTCAGATAAAAGTGTAGAAAAGAAAAAAAATTTCACTTAAAAGCTGGTGAAAACAGTATTTTTCTATATATTATGAGTGGCTGATGATTTCAAAACAACCTTCTGAGAGGACGAAACCAAATCATGTTCCTTTATATCTATACAGTCAATATTTTCCATACCATGTGTCAAATTGTTCTATGGATCCAAGGTGTCCCTAACTTCTTTTAACTGAGTCAGGCTCATATTCTTTTACAAAATGACTTACAAACATTAATTTGTTATGTAATATTTAGGAATACCAAAATATCTACTAAGCATTTCTGAATTTCGTATCAATAGGAAGTTTAATACTGCTTTTGAGGAACAGGTGATCAAAGAACTTTCTCTGTTACTCATTCATTAATTTGT